ATGAGCAAATGCTTAGAAAAGACTCTGGCATTCCTAAGAAGTGAAAGTGAGGCTGTTCGCACCTCCTAGGGGGACTTTAGATGCAGCTAGAGAGCTCAGCACTACCCCAGGCAGCCCAAGCGTGGAGGACTGCTGCAGATAGAGTATTCCTGACAGAGATGGTAGCAGCTGGCATGTCTGCTATTGGTGGAGACAAACTAAGGCCAGTCTATGGCAAGAGGTCACCACCAGGTGGCCAGATAGAGAAGAAACCTTCATTCCCCAAATTTCTAATTTGTAGCTTTGAAGCCACTGCTTGGTAAATATGGACTTCACATTCTGTTTTCTTTCCAGAAACATTTTTCTGAGCTTGCAGGGAGGCATGGTCTATGTGAAAAGATATCCTCATGCAGAATGTACTTTTCAAAATGAAAACATTAATGCTTCCTCCTGGTTAAGAAACTCAAATCTCCCCCAAATCCAAACTGCACAAATCACTACTAACAATAACAGCTGTAGCTCCCAGGCATTCAGGAAGCTAAGGCAGGGGGATCACAAGCTCAAGCTATAGTGAGTTAAAAAGCAAGCCCATGTAACTTATGAAGTTATATCTTGAAATATAAAAATTTAAGAATAACTAGAGGTATGATTTATTGGTAGTGTACTTGTTGCCCATATGCGAGGCCTTAGGTTCAATTCCTTAATACCCTCAAAAAGTATGGTGTATATACTGGAACCCGGCATTATGCTGACCCCGCCCCCTGACAATGGGCAGGGGATGCATACCTGCATTCAGGCAGATTCTCAAAGGGCCCTTTGTGGCATGGCCATGTCATGGCTGCAGAAGGACTCAGTACGCATGTGCAAGCTTCCCATTTAAGTGAGCACCTCCACCTGTTTGCCCCTTCTCTGCTTCCTCCCCCTCCCCCCTTTTCTTTTTCCCTTCTCTTTTCTTCCTCCTTCCCCTTCCCCATCCATCCCCCTCCCCCCCAATAAACTCCACATGGGTTTGATGAGCCTCACGGTTCATGTTCCATCTAGTGAAACTGAATCAAAGGAACAACATATGTCCTCCCAAACTTGTTATGTATACACACACTACCACTTACATTTTATGGCCTCAAACTCTGCAAGTAGCTGAGAATGACCTTGAATGTCTTATCCTCCTGCCTTTTATTTTCACATTGGGATTATGGTTATGCACCATTATGCCTAGTTTATTCAGGGCTGGGGGGCTGAGTCCATGCCTGTGTACACACTAGGCAAACACTATCAACAGAGCTACATCCCCAGCTCATAGCCCAGTGGCACTTAGCTAATGCATTTCCTATAGAGAGACATATAGGGTGTTTGTAAATGATAGTTAAAATAATGGTGACTGTTTTTATTACTGCATTATTTTACTTGTCTGTAGGTGTACATGTGTGTACTTATGTGGAGATTACAGTCGACATCAGGTACATTCTTTTTCTTCCCTCTATCTTAATTTTTTGAGACAGGTCCTTTCACAACCTGGAGCTTGCAAATTCGGCTGTATTTGCAGCTAATTAGCCACTGAGCTCTTTCTGCCCTTCTGCTCCTCAGCACTGGGTTTACAGACACACATATCACCATGCCCAACTTTTATTTGGGTGCTGAGGACCTGAACTCAGGTGCTGTTGTGTGTAGAACATACACTTTATCTGTGGGGTCATTTACCCAAATCCTGATAATCGCTTCTGACCATTAGTCTTCACATGCTTTGTCCTTTCTGATGGACAGATTCTTGGATGTGGACTGGCTGAAGCAGAGAATAGATACATTAAGTTTCATAATTTTGTCAGAATGTCATATATCGATTGACCAGCTCTCACTGTTTTTGGTATGTGAAAGAGTACCCTTTCCCTCAAGTCAGCACCAGCTGTGGACAGTAACTAATCTTTGCTGACAAAGAAAATGAACTTAAGTTAGTTTGATTATACATGTTTACTAAATAATGTATTAGGTTTGCTGTCATGGTTCCTGGACACATGCATTTTATTCTTCTGGAAATTCAATGTTTTCAGAAGAAGTATTTATTATTTTTTACCTACTGAATGATTTAGAGTTGCTCATCATTACAATCATTGTCACATTTTACATATGTTTAAGTCATTCTGATAACAGTAGAAAACTGTCCCCATGTTAAGTTCTATGACCCCTACCTACCCTCAATACAATTCCATGGAACACAGAGTTACCTACTTGATATTAGTACACTAGGGATATCAGAACCAAGTATCACAGCCTGGGTTGCTTGGAATAACAGAAATATATCCTGCCACAGTACTGGAGGCCAGAAGTACAAAATCAAAATGTTGGCAGGGCCATGTATCCTTGGAAGGGTCTAAGGGAGGATTCTTCCACATCTTTTCCAGCTTCAATTACCTCCACATATTTCTTGGCCTGTGGAAGCTTCATCCCAAACTTGTGCTTGCCCTGTATGTCACTTCTCCTCATTTAATGATTCCAGTCATTGGACCTCATCTTAATTTGATTGTATATGTATAAAATCTATTTCCAAATAAGGTTATACTCAAAGATAGTGCAGCTAGGATTTCAATGTTTTGGAGGTGGGACACAATTCAAGTTGCAACAAACCTACTAAGAAATAGATTGCTCTCTAGAACATTTGGAAGCTTAAACACCAAAAGATACACACGTTGTCAAATTGTTTTTTTTATTTAAATTAAAACTTGTAATTAAAATACAAGAGACCATCTTAGCTGCCAGATAGGGCCGGCTATGCATGTGGTGTAGAATCCTCTAGCACATGTCCTGAGATGAGCCTTTGAAAGCACAAGAACAAGCACTAGGACTGGGATCCAGTGTGTTCAACAGAATTGTTAGGTGGATAAAACTGGAAATCAGTTAACAGAATCTTTAAGAAATCCTTGCTTATTTTATTTTCTTCATATTGCTAAACATAATTGCCAGTTTTGGAAAACAGAAAAGTATTTTAATTTCAGAAATGTGTTTTCTAATATGTTTAAAAAATACAATCAATTGCCATTAATATAGGACTAACAGCTCCTAAAAGATGCTACAGAACTCCCTTAGTTGATCCTAAATGACTTGTTATACCCATAGGTCAGTATATCTCTGAATCCACATCAGAATGTGTCTCTTTGCAGTAGATGACGATTACCATAGAGACTGCACATGGCCATGGTGCAGAGATTAACAGCTTGCAGAATATTCAGCCCTAAATGGAATAGTTATACTGCGCCATCTCCTCTAGGCTCAGTGATCACACGAAGAGGGACCAGAGGGACCGTAAGAGACAAGATGGTGAACAAACACAAGAAAAGAGTGTCCTCTGGACATGGCAGGGTCACTGCACTGTGAACTTGAGACAGGTATGACTAGTCCCATGAAAGTTCAAGCCAGACCTAATCCCAGCAGGGAGAGCAGAGGTAGGTACAAGCCCCACCCCAGCCAGGAACTATTAGCAATTAATAGTTGCTGGGAGAGGAAAAGTTTGTTTTCTTTAAGAGTGTTGCCATGGATGGGCAAAAGAAAAAAAAAAAAAAAAAAAAAAAAAGAAAGAAAGAAAGAATATAAGTTGGGTGGATAAGGAAGTGGGGTGAATCTGGTAGAAGATGAGGGAGTGAGTGAATATGGCCAAAACTCATTGTACACAATTCTCAACAAACTAATAAAAATAAAACAAGCAATCTCCTGAAAATGATAGACTTACTATACTTAATTTGTTTTTAAATCAAGAGGTTTTTTCTAGTTGATATATTTTATCCATAATGACTTTTTTGCTTTTAAAGAGCATCACCAAAGCCAGCAAAGTGCAGTTGTATTGGACTAAGTCTACAATAGCTGCTTTGTGTCTTTTTTTTTTTTTTTCAGTCTTAGATACACATATAAGTTGTTTTGGCTTGACCCATCTGACCTGTGATCTGTGTTTTCTTCACTGAGCACTGAAGATAGAGATGTTGGAATTTACCCAGAGGCAGGAGGACCTCAGGTCTAGAATATTTTCAAAGGTGTGGAAATCACTGAAATAGATCATTTGCAAGAACTACGTGAAGGAAGCAAACATGCGAAGGTGAATTTTGCTTGTCTGCAAGTCTACGGAGTCGAAATTACATTCTTTGGAAAATGGAAGAACGAAACCCAATATGTGGTGTCATGTATTTCAGTTTTATAAAAAAGCTGGCTCAGTTAAAGAACTAATTTGTGTGCATGTGTGTCAAAAGCTTAATATAGATATACTGTGTAACTGATTTATCAATGACCATTTCAGCAATTCAAATTAAAGACAAAGTCTGTGCAAAATCTGCATGGCTCTTCTTTGGAAGCAAGCACAGGAATGACTTATGGTTGGAGTTAGAACACACCACTCTTCCTGCTCTTAGATTAGCAGGAACCGTGGTATGGAAATACCATAAAACACCTAACCTCCATCATAAAGAGAATACAGTTTCAGCATGGGGCATGGTCCTCTGCATAGGATACAGCATGATTTTAAAGGGTTAGTTGCCAGGAATAGGGGGTATTTTTGTAGATAGCTATGAGCCACAGAAGGCTCAGGGAGCAAGGAGAGTTACATACAGCTTCATGGGATGCATAAGGCTTCTTCTCCTGCGCGGTCAGATTCAACTGGAGTATGTAGAAAATGATGCCCAGGCTCATCTCACACTAATGAAATCCGAGAATGGGGTGATTTAAAAATGCAAGGGCATTTTTTTTAATTGTCCACGATGATGATTTTTATTTGAAGCAGAATTAGGTGCTACTTGGCTTCTGCAAACACATAAGAAAGGTTGGGCTCCATCTAAGTGAAGTAGCAATTTTGAAATTTTAAAAAATCAGAAAAAGTTGTATTTGATTATATTTAAACATGGACACCAATGACATAGTACTTTTTATGGAATTAATGATAGGTAAAGATATTTGATTATGTAACTTATTGATCTCTCTCTAAGGTAGATCAACACTAACAACAAACAGCATTAATATTTAAGAAATGAAAAAATACTTTAAAGGAAGATAGTTCAATTGTGTTTATGAACCCCAGAATGTCTCAATTGAACTGAAAAATGAATATGCAAGTGTGTTATAAGCTTAGAATGCATTGAAAGCAGTATCTTATTCCATTAAAAAAACAAAAACTGTTCAGATTCAAATGTAAAATTAAAGTGTTTAGAAACAAATACTTTCTGGAACCCATCTTTTAATAATATATATTTTTTTAAAATTCCATGCAGCAGTTCCAAAGGGTCCATTTAGTAACTTCCTGTTTCTGTGCCAGAGAAGATGACACTGATTGTATTAGGTTATTCACTCTTGGGAAAATGTCTTACTTCAGTTTTTCATACCCATAACCCAAGAGCCACACCAGCAGGGCAGAGTCAAGGCTCAGGCTTGGAGTTTGCTTTGAGCACCTGTGCATCCCAGTTGCACTCAGTAAGACCAATTGCTAAGGCACTCAGAAGGCTAACTTGCATTCCTTGCTTCTAATACACCACCAGCATCTGTGGGCATGGAGGGAAGAACGTAGTGGAGCTTGGCAATGCTTGCACTCCTTTCTGTCAGGAAAATGCATAGTAAACACGTGTGACAATCACCAATTATTCTACTAACGAACCTCAGGGATACTCAATACAAGATCATCAGGCATAATAAGCAAGTCAACAGTCTATTTAAACTTAGAATATTGGTCAACATTATGAAGACTGAGAGGGAGAAAAAAAATCAGCAAAGAAGCCACATGCTGAATATTAACCAAACCCATTAATGCCAACGTTTTTCCTCTGGTGAAGAAAGAGTTCAGCTGGGGGAAAAAACTGTATTTCTGAAGTGCCAGTGTTCAGAGTGTCCTATTGCATTTTAAATCTAAGTCTGATGACTGACACATACGGATTTCAAAGCTTTTGAATACAAAATTGCTTTTGGCTCTAGCACCGAATATTAAGCAGAGTGTTTCTCTCCTTGTTTGATGCCAAGAACGAGATGTAGGAACCAGTTAAACTGCACTGTCCATCCTTTGTCTCTACAAACTTCAATCTGATCCAGGAAATACTTCTTAGCATCCTCCTCATTCTTCCCCACCGTGAGAGCATCCCGGATATATTCAATGTCTTCTTTGCTTGTTAACTGGGGCATTCCTGTCATTAGCATCATGGAGAACAGGATGATCAGCAGGTTTGTGTGATGTCGAAGAGCTAGATAAGCCTTGACACAGACATCCTAGACAAAGAAGAGAAAGATGCTGTTATCAGTGTTCCCAGCTGGGGCTTCAATGTTCCAGTTTGATGATGCCTTTTGCTTTGGTCAAGGGTGATTTCTGAAGAACCTTAAGCTGAGTTGGAATTTATATGTTACTGTTCATGCAAAGGATTCTTTGTGAACAAGGCAGGTCTCTGCTTCAGGAAAAATCGTGGGGAAAACACGAACTACTGTAATCTTGTAAACATACCAGTGTGTTGCAGCTAGTGTGCTCAAGGTAAAGGGACTGACTCAGACATATCTCATGCTATTTGTTAGTGCACCTTTCAGAGTCAAGTTCTTCCCTGGGAAATTAAGGGTAGAAACACCTGTCCTTCCTAAAGAGACATGAGTCACTTTTGAATACCATATTGGAATCAATAGGCTTTATGTAAGCAAAAGTAATGTTTGCCAAGAGTTGCTGAAATCCAAAGACATATAGGAGATGTGTTCAATTTAGCCATCATATCTATTTTTTAACACTTTGTTGTATTTTAAAAGCAGAAGGATTTGCTTTTTACCATCTGATTTTCTAAATCGTTGAATGAATTTATAAATTTTAATACAAATTCCCAACACCGAGTGAAAGAGAGTGCTTTGAAAACTGATGGTGAGCCAAGCATGGTGGCTTAGGCCTGTCATCCCAGCACTCTGGAGGCTGAGGCAGGAGGATCATTGTGAGTTCTAGGTAAGCCTAGGCTACAAGGTAAGTTCCAGGTAAGCCTGGTCTACAGTTAGATCCTGCCTCAAGAAACCAAAAGGAAGGAAAGAAGGAGGAAAGGAGAAAGGGAGGGGAAAGAAAGAAGGGAAGGATGGGAGGGAGGGAGGAAGGGAGGGAGGGAGCAAAGGTTGCTGCCTCCATAAACACCTTTGGAGCAGGCAATGAGTCAGGCCTACCTAGTAAGCAACAGGCTTGTCTGTGCTGAGGCATATGAAAAGGTAGAGGATACTTATTCCTGTAAAATCAGTACTCAATCTTAACAGAATGACCTGGAAGACAGCATGTGCAGGAAACTAATGCTAATGATTATAGATATAAATATTTCATATAAGATACTGAAAAAAAGTAAAAAAAAAAAACCCTCTCACAGAATACTAAATAGGATTTATGTTCAAACTGCAAGATATGCTGACCAAACTATATTAACATCAGTTTCTGATTTTTATAAAATATGAAAATTAATATGACATTAAAATATAACTGTGAAATGCTGGATGTTATAAAAATAATTTAAAATTTTAAAATGCCAGAAAACATAAAATAGAAAAAGAAATAGTGTGTAAAATCAGAAAAGGGGAGATAAAATTATTACTATTTATAAATAATATGCTCTTTTCCCTGGAACTGTGAGGGAAAGAAAATTCAAATATTATTGTAACCAGCTTTTTGGTAAATTATGTTTTGTGTGTGTGTGTGTGTGTGTGTGTGTGTGTGTGTGTGTTGTGTATGGGGGCCAGATGTCAATGTCAAGGCATTGGGTGGCTTCCTCAGTCACTCCTGGTTTTACTGTTTGAGGCAAAGTCTTTCACTGTTTGGTCCTGGGGCTCAGCAATTCATCACTACTAGTTGGCCAGTGGACCCTAGGATCTACCCATCTCTGCCTTCTGAACACTGGGAAGTTACAGGTTTGTGCTACCATGCTTGCCTTTTATGTGGGTATCAGGAGTTGAACTTGGGTCCTTATGCTTGTAAATAATAGCCACCAGTTGGCAAGTATGATGAAAAACAAAAACAGTAGCTGTTGTGTGTATTGATAAGAAGAATACCATACCTAGAATAAACATATCACAAAAACATGCTGAACCCACTTAAAGAAATGTAGAATTCTACTGTGCTACATAAAGGAAAATTTATACATGGGATAACATAGCATGTTCCTCAGGGAGAAAACTCCTCTCAGTATATCTATTATTCTTGGGTTAATCTACAAACAGTGATATTTCAGTAAAATTTCTCACTAATTAAATTTAGGTATGGGTTTTAGTTTAACATAGTTAGGATCTGAGGAGACATTTTGATAGATTATACTAATGAGAATATGTGCTTGCTGCAGCAGATATTAAAGCATCTTATGCAGCTATAACACGGAGAAGGGTGAAGTTGTGTCTATTGTTTAAAAAAAAGACAAGAAAATTTGTGGGATAGAATAAAAAGTGGGGAGACACAACTAAGCAAATAATAAATGTGAGATGCAATTAAGACAAGTTCTGAAATCAATGAGGAAAAACTATTTTTTATGAATGTGATCTGGATAACTGGTTCATTACTTGAGGAAAATGAAGTTAAAAATTCACTCCCTGGGGCATGCCAAAAGGAATTCCAGATAAATCAAAGTTCATTCATGAAAAGGGCAAATACTGGACTAATCAGGCATTAAGAAGGCACTTTACAAGGGTAGAAGCAATGCAGAAATTATAGAAATGTAAATGCATGTGGTGAGAGCTACAAGCAATTGTTAAGAGGGAATAACAAAGAAAACATCTATGCAATGTGACAGACCACTCTCCTATCTTAATGCACAAGCCAGGATATGTGAAAATTCACACTGTCAGACACAAGAGCAGACAATAAATCTTGGAGACTATGAACATTATTAGTAAGCCAATGAACAAAGTGTAAAGCAAGACAGAAGCATTCGTAAACACAATGGATAAGTTTTGCTCTTTTAGTTTCTTACAGATAGATCCTGCTTGATCATCACAGACAGTCTGAGGGCAGAGAGTGGCTTTACAGCAGATCACTTGTTAACATAGCTGCTGCTATGATAGGACTTAGCTGTGGTGTGCATGTCATATTTGTCAAAACTCAGAATTGTACACTTAAAGTAGGTGAAAATTTCTGTCTGAAATAAGTTTCAAAAGCCCGACTCTTAAAAGAATCTATGTGCTTCCCCAGACACTTCTATTCTAGGAATTGAACTTTTACAAGGTTGGACTCCATTTCGATTGATTTACATTTAAGAGAAAGTTTTTGAGAGCATCATTCAAGGAGGTGGCAACCTCAGTGGCCCATAATTGGAGACAGAATAGAAGGCTGAAGAAAACTACCTTAGTCACCTATTCTAAGGCTCCAAGAACGGCTCCATAGGAGAATAAATAAACACGTGACAGCCTGTTATGAAGGAAAGATGTAGAACATATGTATCTTCCCATCTTCATCCTTTAACACAAGATAGCCTTTTCTGTACCTACTATTTTCCCTCTCCTCAAGAGTGTGAGAAAATGCCTGCAACTTAAGGGAGAGAGGCTTTGTTTTGGCTCCTGGATTCACAAGGTGATAGTCTATCACAGTGGGCAAGACAGCACAGCAGGAGCTTGTGATGGCTGCTAGCTCACAAAGCAGTAGACAGGAAGCAGAGAACTCTGGTTGGAATCAGAAGCAGATATAACTTCAGAGAGCCTGTGTCCTGTGTCCACTATCTGTACCTGTGTCCTCAGGTTCTACAATTTCCCCAACACTGCCATTACCTGGGGCTAAGTGTTCAGACACACGCAGATGGGGGACTTCTCAGTCTCAGACCACAGCACTGTATCATTTGCATGTAGTACAGCAGTAACCACGATGATAATAGAGGTCAGGCCTTTGTCACACCGGACAGGGGAGGGAGGACATATTATACTATAAGTAATTTTGATACTAGAAAGAAAGGCAACTTATATAAAACAGGCACAGAAGACTGCCCTGACTGAGGATGCAGGGTGTGTCAGTTCTCTTCCTTTCTGACCAGAACTCTGCATCTTTTTTTCTGATCACCATGGAGGAGGAGGCAACAGCAGTCCCCAGAGCTTGTCTGGGTTGTTCCAGCTGCAGCCCAGACTTCTCCAGTACATTAGTGCCCTTGCATTCTAAATGATGCCGTGGATGTCCGGAAATCATTTTCTTTGCTTATCCCCAACCCACTGAGGCATTTCGAGTTTCTTAGTAATTACAGAGGCTAAGTGCAGACATCACCTTGGGCTACAGACTCATTAATTTGCCAACTCCTACGATTTTCACACAGACTTAGGGAGACAACTTTTTATTTGGAACCAGAGTACGTTCTGATTTTTAATTATTTTCTATCCTTCTATACACTGGGGGCTCTGGGCAAATTTCCTGCTATGTGAGCCCACTGTGGGTTCAATCTCTTTTTAATGGAATATTTTCAAGGAGGGAAATTGACCCCAGGCAAAGTTATTGTCACACCAATCCATAGGTGCTCAGTAAATACTTTCAGGTGATGACACAACCATCCCTGTGTCCAAAGAGATACACAAAGGGAAAGGAGGGCCTGCTTCTCTTAAATGCTACCCCACCCTGACGACTTAGCATCTTCCTGTGGATGCTGAAGAGTGGACTCAGGGCCTTATATGTGCCTGGTGAGCACGCTACCACTGACCTGCATGAATAATTTTTGTTGGTTCTAGCTTATTCGAGTAGTTCTGACTTTCACATGCAGGCTCTTCTTTGAGAAAGAAGCATCTTCCCTAAAATTAACTGAATGTTCCAGACTTCGTAGGCTGGCTGCATAGATTTACAATGAGAGTAGATGTTACTGTTCTATGTGGAAGGGAGAGTGGAGTGGTTGCTAACAGCAGGTTCACACCTAGTTGTATGGACACATAGTTTGGCTTTCTTATTGACAATCAGAGAAGTCATTTAACTCCTCTGGACCTCAGTGTTTTCATCTGTAGGATGAGAACAATAGTAACAGCAATAGGCATTTCCTATGGTTGTGGTGAGATTTGAATGCTACATCACTGACTTTTACTCCATAAATACTTCATAAATACTATGAAGAGTTGCATCGTTGAACACAGTTCTCATCAGGGCATCAGTTTCTTATATAAATCATCTATCCAAAATGATTTCTTAGACAGTTGAGAGTTAGTGGCTGAAAGATGTGAGAATGGGTAATTAGGTTTTTATTTTTGTTTTTTGTTTTTTTCCAATGTGTATGAGCTGTCTTCACACTGGCCCGCTGAGGAAGGGTACATAGGAT